TCCATTTCTATCAATAAACGACTTTGTGATTCGCCTGTCTTGTGGCCTTTTTCCTCGCGTCTCGATCCTGTGGGTTATTGCGAGTTCGAGCCATTGCGGTCCAGTGCCATCAGTTCTCTAATTCGTGTTCCGTGATTCCTATTGCGTGGTTCGTGTCCTGGATTCTGTGCGTAACTTCACTACTACTTCCTCCATTACCATTACATTAAGCTCTAACTTTTCGGGATAGGGAGTTTTTCTTCGCAGTCGTTCAACATCGCGTCCACGGTCAAATTTTATCACATATTACCAAACAATTACTACGTTGCTATTTTGGGTGAACTTATTTAATGGAAAAAGCAACTTTGCACCTTCTGGAGTTAACTACTGCACTTCAAATAATTGTGTTTTTAATGAACTGAAATAGACGGCATTGATCACAGTTACCCACGGTGAGCTCTGTATCACACGATTTTCGTGGTTTGATCAGATCCTATTTCGTGTCTTGAGTGTCGCTGCCTAAAATACTATTCAAAGCCAGTGGTAACTCTTGTGTACCATTGTACGTTGTTTTTAACTCCATCTTGATTTTATCTTGACCGGAAGGACAACGAGAAAGGACTTGAAAGCTATGATTATTGGATGTCCCCGATATAACTTCGCGCCTCATATAGTTCTACCACATCTTGTCTCACATGGTTGACAGAGATAACTTACGCCAATTTTAGTCCTAGCAATATTAATTCCCTGGAGAACAAGAAGATGCATCTTGATCGCGATGGTTCTTCATACTCTCGTGAAAATGTTAAAGGCGGACTGGTGTTATGAAACATATCTAATCAATCTTGTCAATATGAGAGTGATGGAAGACTTGCATCGATGAATTGAGCAATTTCGTCTTGTAAGGGAGAGTGAACTGCAACGAACAACAGGTTAGTATCAATGTGTCCTGGATCATCACTTCGCTTCATCTGTGCACGTGCCTACGCCGATTTATGCAATCATTACTATATGGATGCTTGGCCATCCACATCGGCAAAACGGAGAGATAACTGCAATATCGATCACTAATACGATTCCGTATTTGGCTTGTGATTTGTGACCCTCGTTTGTGATTCACGATTGAAGATTTGTGTCTGGTCCGATTACTACATCATGCGCAGATAATTATCAGACCATAATTACCGCTTGGCTTGTTTCGTCGGAATTTTCAGCAGTCGTCCCTTTAGGGAAAACGAATCTGAACATGAAAATGCTGCGCACGTCTTCCCCAGTAGGTGGTTTAATCACCGTTTTTTTTTCATGACCTCAACTGTCTGGAGAAACTTTATTAATGCATTTATAACAACGCTCGTGTTTTGAAAGTGTGAGAAAACCATTATCTTGGTGCTACAACAAACGATGGAATTTCAAATTATCGTGCGAACCAAATATAAATACCTTCGGAGTGAGAATTTAAACTGCTCGTAGTACTTTTTATGATTATCTTGAGATAATATTTCAGAACGTTTAAACCAACACATTAAAGTTGGGGCGAAGTAACTGTGATGAGTAAACTCATCGGGGTAACGCCAGCCACGGTAGTACGCGTTCCAGCTTCTTTACATCAGATACAGGCCAACAGTATAGATCAGTCGATTGCCATGCAATTCCAACAGAAGCCGTGTGACTTGGAGAACAAGTACGGCGATTGGTTGATGCCCGTTTAACGGATTATATTTCTATTTACGTATTATTCAATCCCACTAATTTATTCCAATAAACGAACTGCTACTTCTGTGGCCTTCTTCTTTCATATCGGTGACGGGAGATTCTGGCATGCGATTACCAGTGCGATTTGATGCTTTATCTGCTATCGCGATTCGTGATTCCGACTACTACAGTAACTGCAATGGAAAAATAGACACATAAATGCTATGAAGCACCTCAGAGATCTGGATACGACTAGATGTGAATAATACTTCTTGCTGTTCGTTTAGTATACTGAGACGTTCACGGTCCATCGCGTACAAAATGTTATAGTATGTGTGGAACTAAGGAGCTCCAGAGAGAGAAACAGACAAACAGAGAGACAGTGGGCAAGCTGTGATTTAGTATCGATAATACGCGACAAATTTTCATCATTCAAGATTCGCATTCGTGGTCGAAAATTATGAAAAATAAGAAAAAAATACCGGTAAATGTTTGCGAGGTTATCTCCCATTTAATTACGAAATAAAGCCAAAGGATTTTGATGGTGATATCTACGCTCATGGGCCAATCCATATGCATGTTGATTTAGAGTCATGAAAACTGAAAAGCCTCGCTCTCAACTACTGGTCACTTGGTGTGAAAGGTTTACGGTCAGTAGGGATCCAGCCAGACCAACGGAAAAACAATGACGCTTCGTGCACCATAAACTTAATTACGCTTTGGACTAGTAAACAGCCACTTCCACGTTGTTAGCCGAAACAGAGACCAGTCCATTCTTGATCGTGTTAACGACAACAGCTGATATACCCCAGTTATGCAACTCTGATCAGTATTTCACAATCTGATGATACACAGTGGGGTGAACACGATTGTACCTAGTGTATTCAACTATAAATAATGTCGAAAACAGTTAGGCAAAATATACCGATTGGAATCTGCTGCCCCAAAGGGTCGCTTCAGTGAATTGGATTTTTAGTTATATTAGGATGAAGTTTGTTAGCCCAATACGTCATAATGCAAATTAAAACGGGGAGGTAGAAAGTCTAAATGTGTGTTCAAAGAAAGATATAAATGGTCGGGCTACAAGTCCTCCCACCTACTGGACAGTTACAAATATCACAATCAGGTAATTGACCATCCTAAAACAACAACCAATTTCATCAAATTTGACGGCATGCCATTGACACATATTAACCTTATGGTGTTGTACACGATCCCATAGAATAGTTTGAGCTCATCAACTTTTACCATTTGAAACAACCAAATCACGAATGGCATTTACGTGGTTGGGGCTTAAACATCGACCCAACACCAACATCCGCATCCCGAGCTGCAAGCATTCCACATCATTTCCGACAAAAGCGCTCCATTTGGACAAAATAATTTGTTGTGTCTAGTTAGTGTAGTGTGTCTGGCCCTAGACCGAAGTAGTCACACATGCAACTGGGGTCCATCTGTAGTGCACTTCACGCTTAAAGGTCCGGTGCGTTGATCGAAATCCAATAAGGGGGCTCCAGACACAGTCAGGTTGAGGCAATCGCAGGATGAAGTGTAAAATGACTGAATTCCAAACGTGACTGAAGATATGCGGTTATTGGGTTGTGTTTTCGTCTCAGATTTACAGTACGCTCCTCTTGACGTTGGCACTCTCACAATATCGGATAGAAGGATAGTTCGTCAGTCTCAATTTATTTGAAATACCAGAACAACATGTTGCACAACGGGGACTGGATGCTTTTTTATGGCATGCTATAGTTTTACAGCTTGTGTTGACACTTAGATTTTCAGAGAACAGATTCATCGATTGGCTGGCAGTTTGATTTTGGTCAGGGTGTAGTTCGTCCTCAATTATTAGTTGTTATTCCTCCTTGACGATTTGTATACCAAAGGTGTCTACGGAAGACATCCAGTCAGTTTCTTATCTCCAAAACAGAGATTAGCCGTCCCCTTGAATCACACCTGCGGCGTTTGTTCAGCATTTCACCGACGATGTTTTTGTTCTAGGAAAGCGCCATTGAAGCATTTGTTTTATCGGCTGCCTTTATCTATACATGAAAGAAAATACACGAATTTAGACTGTTTCACCACATACCATCGTTTACTTCTAACTTCTCTGATGGAGATTGTTGAGGTGAGGGAATCGGGCATTTTATCCATTCCTGAAGATGCGGCTGATTTTAATTTCAGTTATCTCTCACGTCCAGTATTTTGTTTCAATTCTTAACATGTTTGTGAAAAGTATCCTATTCATACGGTGATTCATCGGGATATTCGGTGCACTCCAGTTAACAAAGCCATTAAATTTTGTGCCATGGAATAATTTTGCTTAGGAGATGCTTGAGTACGAATCTCAATTGTTATCTAAATTGACGATTCGCGTGTATTTAGTGTTAAACAGCGCTTTTTCAGTACACGAAGTTTGTATATAATATCGGTTATTTTATTTCTTGACTAAAGACATCCCTTGTCAGTTTGAGTAATCAATGATAATTCATTCTAACAATCCTGTCTTAATTTATGCATTTGAGTTGTTGTTTATAAAACGTTGGTTTAGGGCATTGCTGTGTCACAGCTGAAAAAAGTTACCATTCATGAAGGTATCCTAAATAAATTACCGTAAGAACAGGAATCACCTTATGGTAATCAAACACATTTTGGAGAGATTTATACATGCATAATCACAGATTTAATTTTGTATGACTGGAAAGAGGACCCGTTTCAAAGGAAATCTATCGGATTTCCGCTCATTGCTCAAAATAATCATTGTACGGTATTGTTCAATTTTATTATGTCATCCTTGTTCGCAAGTCAGCGATATGACTGACAGAATGCACTGAGGAAATCTTGACAGTAGCATGGTTGACTATCTGCACAGGGAAACTCTGAGAGACCTTAGAACAGCAGATTTACGGTACGCTACAGCTGGGCTATTAGGTTCAAAACGATGCGCCCCAACAGCATGACAATTTCGGTCGAAGCGCTTCGTCACATTCTGACTGGGTTAAAAACACACGCAGGTCGGAGTGAGCTTTGTCATGTAAACATTTGTATAAGCCCAATTAGTAAATCACACTCGACGAAAAGTCACGCCGCGTACACCATAGCACAACATTCAGACCGATACGCGCCCACCAAGGGCAGACCTGTTCGCTTTGCCAACTGTCGACCCACACGACATTCATATTCGCCTCCCCTAGGCGATACGCGATTGGTCCGACCAGGGACAGGTCGACCAGGCATAGCTAATACAGACTACCAATAGGGAATCGGCAACCTGCAAGAACCAGCCGTTTATAATCCGAGTGCCCAAGCTGTTTGGTCTAGCCACGATGACTGCTGTACCGATACACGTTAGTGATGTCCTCGACAATCGGTTCGACGTGGTTGTTTTTGTCAATGATGATATCGACACAGCCTGTGCTCCGGATGCCGTGATTCATGACGCTTTGAAATCGTTCTCAAAGGTAAGCAATATGAGAATGCCTACTACAATGACTGTGATGTATAATTTAGCGGTTCTGTTCAATCCAGTACTATTTTAGGCGCGAGGGTTCGCTGACTAGATATTGCGAACATGGTTTTTGCTCCCTTATCAATTTTTCAGCATACCTATAAAGATTTTGTCACGTTTCCGCCGATAAAATTTGCTGAATTCTTTTATATATATTGCAACTGTGAAAACATATCACATGGCGCATCGATTTTTCGATACACTCCAAACGTCGTTCCCATCTGACATTGCTGAATTCTTTTCAAGTAGTAATTTCAGTTGTTGGAAAATGTGAGCTTCAACATATTCTTGTTGAGTTTTCCTACTGCAACCATCTCTCATTTTACTAATTTGCGAAGAAAGTCGGTTTAATGAGGTTCATACTTCAACCTGGTTGAGGTTATCGGGGTGGTTTGGAGCGTCACATGTACGAATCCCGTTCACATTCAGCTCAAAGTTACTTGTGAGTAGCGGATGACACCTGAACAAACATGAAGTGGACATTCGGTTCAGCCCTAGTGTCAGCTGGCTGGGGCAGTGGTGAGGCACATTTCATTTGATGGATCCGGGTTCAAAACCCAAATATACACCACTGATGAGCTCAGATAAGATCGGAAATCGAGTTTAGTGCTGCCAAGTGCATGATTGACTGGATAAACTGAGGAATGTGCGTGAAGGTGAAGTCGGTTCAAATCAAATCACGTGTTGTTTTATTACCCGTCCGCATTCGTCCTTTTAATTTTCATGCGGAATAGTATATTTCATTCCCATTTATTTGAAACACAACAAGTGCACAGTAGATATTCAGGAGGGAGGGAGGCACGGCCATCAAGGGCTGGTAAATTATGACGAGGGAACTAGGACAGAAGAGTTTGGATACGTGAAATTGCAGGTGTCAGGGATTATGGGCAATATCACTCGAAAGCTGCCATTTTGCAGTTTTCCAGAACACACACGATGGAGGATTCCACATTATTAGTGCCCATTGTTTGGCGAAAATCCCAAGGGCTTCGCTCGCTGGACAGATAACTAAGATTTATTTAATTCGTACCGGTTTGCTCAATGAATGTTACGACGCATTAAATGTCATACCCTAAACGTTTTCGAGCTGAAACTTATGAAATCATGTCTCCACAACGACGATATATGTGTATATGTGTGTAACTAGAGTCCGGCGAGATTGGACACCTTGTCGAATCTAGAGGATATTACTTCAAGTGGATACCATACGGAATTTTTGATTACTTACTATTCAGGAGTAATGCTGTGTGTATACGCCCCTTAATAACTGTTCGAACAACCAGTACCTTCCACCTTCTATTATGCGCGTCTCAAGATCAATTGATCACTCTTTCGGCCATATGTGTACAAATAGTGAACACACCAGGGAGGGATGAACGAACTTGCTTATACTACTACTGTTCACTTACCGCCCTGGTGTTTCTGTTACCTCTCACTCTTTCCACAATCGATCGTGATCCGCCTTCGGTGACCAAATTACAATGATCTCTACGGCCCCGTTTTGTAAATGAAAATAGTTTAGTGTCAATATTCTAAAGCTTTTTGAAAGAGGACTTCTGGACATTTTCTACGGTTATAAAAGTGCTTGACTAACGCCAACGTAAATGCTGTAATATACCGATGCATAGTAAAATATATTTGTATGTGTAAGATGCAATCGTGTATTAGAAAAACCGGTAGATTAATGTACTAACGTCGTAGTTACGGATCCCATCACTGGATGGTCAGCTATCCATGTATATTACGATGTGAATTCCGACTCTCGTAATTATACACTTTTTGCTACTCCACTCGGCACAACTTTTATCACCGGTTTGATGCAACTTGAATTCAGCTGATAAAATGGCTGCGGTAGATCAGTACTGACTTCATGGATAGTTTTTTGTCGTCAGCTGGCTCCTTAAAGGGTTCTAGCCCCGGATCTTGGGGTGCAGCAATGCAAACTAATTGAATACTACCATTGAGTGATTGAATAAGTCTTCTTCTTCACGTTTAACACCAAAAAGCCATGAGATACAAGTAGTTGCTACATGATCGTTAGGAGTCGTTTTCGAACTCCTCCGTGTACCCCAAACTTATGCAGAATATTTCACTGCTCACCGACTGGTCTTCACAACACA